CGGATGGATCCCCAAGACCCTCAAAATGCATTCTTATCCTCACTTTTTTTTTCAGTGAATGGGGGGGGGGGGGGGTTATTGGTTATTTCTTTCAAAATAAGCCTAGACTGGAAGTCTTGTTTGAGGGCTTATCGCAAGAATGACTTTTGCACCTTACATTGTATTTGTCTATCAGTTCGTTCACCTCATTGTAGCCCATCATGTTGAAATGCCTTTCAGAACAAAGTAACATAAACTGTTCGATATCTTCTTTCGATAGAATTTCGCGCTGCATTTCATGTTTGCGTCTTTCCATTTTTTGAATTCGTTTCATTTTTTCTTCTATCTCAGCGAGATTACAAAGCTGATCGATTTCGTTGTTCAATTTTTTCACTTGCTCTTTTATCTTTCTGTGCTCTACTACATGCTCATGTACTCTGCCGGAATGTTTCAACATCATCTTTTGAAATATTACAACATTCCTTTCAATTTGCTCTTCCTCCATTTCCAGTTTTTCATTTTGATCCACGATTTGCGAATAATTTTCAGTGACTTCCGAAAGCTTCTGAATAATGTTTCCGTGAGTTGTCGAACAGGGTCCGTGACGTTTACCGCAAATGTAGTCTTTTTGAAAACGCTCGATTGTGTCTCGAGCAGCTGTCAAAATCATTGGCTCTTTGTTCTAAAATATATGGTGTTTTTTTTTTCAAAGTTGCAACTTGTTTAAAAAAAGTGAGTGAAAGTAGTTGAATACCCTGTTTTTTGGAGTCGGAGGTTTCACATTATCCCAGTAGCTCGGTAAACTGTATTTCTGAAAATTTTTCCAAAGTTCCATGGTTATTTTGATCTCAATCTCGAATCATCTAAAAACAATTAACGATATAATCCACTGTTTTAAAAATCAGGATACATTTTATGAAGTCATATATCATTGACGTCTTGGATAAGTCACGGAAAAGAAACAGATTAAATATTGCTTTTTGTGTTGCTTAAAAATTGCGCTTGCTTCACTTTCAAGGTTTTTAGTCTGAATCTTCTTATATATTAAATGAAAGTCGGAATGCGCTATGGACGCAATGTTTAACTGAACGCAATGTTTTAGCTATGTCGAATGCAACGTTTAAATAATTCTTAGGCTTAAAGTTCAAGAGAAGGTCAAGAATATTCTCGACTTTCAAGCTTTCTTAAGTCGGGAATATTCTAGATTTATTTTCGACAAAAATTCCATTCCTTAGACAAGATGAACTCAATTCATTTTCAAGGCTAGACATTGCCTGCCCATTTTTTCTAAAATTCTCCCTTCTCAGTACTAAAAGCAACAACCTCCTTGCTAGAAAAACTAACTGTTTGAAACCGATTTGCGCTATGAAATTGTTTTGAATTATTTCAAAGTTTCATCGCTTGCATATCTTGCTTAGAAAAACATAAACTTTTCACGAATCGATTTGCTCTGTGAAAACTTAAGATGATTCAAATTTTTATTGCCTCAAAAGCTCGCCTAGAAAATTTGAAACTTTGAAGCTTTTTTCAGCAAACTTTTCGCGAATTGATTTGACCTTTGAAATAACTTGAAATATTTAAAAGTTTCAATGCTTTATTAGCTCGCTTCGATAAACTTAAGTTTTTGGCAAAACCATTCGGTCTATGAAATAACTCGACATAGTTCAAAATTTCATAGCATTAAAAACTTGCTCTAAAAAACTTATCGCAAACCGAATCAGTGTGAATTAACTTGAAAATTTTTCATAGCTTTAAAAGTTTTCTTAGAAAAACAAAACTTTTCGTGAACCCATTTGGTTCACGAAATAACTTGAAATATTTTTTAATTTTCATAGCTTTAGAAGCTTGCTTAGAAAATTTCAAGCTTTTCGCAATCTGGTACAATGTGTAATATAACTTAAATTATTTTAAAATTTTTAACTGGAAAAGTTTGCTTAGAACAACAACAGTTTTCGCGAAATGGTTCGGACTATGAAACCTTAAGTTTTTCAAACCGATTTAAGATATGGCTCAGCTCGAAATTGTTCAAATGTTCATTGCTTGGATAGATTGAGCAGAACAACAACTAATTTTTTGCGAGTGAATGGATTATTGGAGGCGGGCTTGCTAGTTACAAATCAAACAAGGATTATACGTGCTAGATGGGTTTCTTTCTCAGCAGACCAAGTTCGATGGTCGACATATCTTTTTCGGCAGAATTTTTTCTATGCAAGCCTAGAAGTATTGACAGTCTGCTAACAAAAATGAAAAATTTGGACTAATTTATGCGTGCATGATGTCAAAATATCTATATCTATATATTATTTCATGATTTTTATTTTATTTCCATTGATGTTTATCTAAGTTTACATGTTTAAGAGTTATACGCTATCTCAACAGTTATAGCTACAGTCTATATGTACATGCTTTGCTGTGTATATAGGTCCAAGCGGTACTGCTAGCATGCGGATTTTCATCTAGCATCGGTTTTGAGACTTATCGAAATGTTTTTTTTTTAAATTTAAGCAAGCATTTTGAACTAATCCATGCTTTGCGATGTTTGATTTCTATTTGCTTTGCGATGTTTGATTTCTATTTTTTTAAATATTATTTTTCAAAACTCAAATCGGGCTTTCGAGTTTTTTATTCGTCATGTTTTTTCCCGCAAAAAATCGATTTATCTTTAACTGAATGACTCATTTGTCCCATGTTTACGCCACTGTTACTTGTTAAATAATTACTATATCTACATTTTGAAGACTTCCGCAGCTTAAAATTATTTAAAAAAAAGTTCTCTATTAATTTTGTTAAACAACTCCTCAACTGTTTTTGTTCTGTTTAAAAGACTTTATAAGTAGAAAGAAATCACTGAAAAAACGTTTCTCCGGATTCTGTTCTACTTTCATTTTTCTAAATAAAACTTATTATCTATTTTTTAATTAAAAGTCTATTTTTACAAAAAAAATCTCCAAATTCAGGCTTGTATTCTTATTAACTAAATAAAATTCATTTTATTTCTTAAAACAAGACTGCGTTTCTCTTAATTTTTTTACAATAAAATTTTTAACTTATTTTTCCCGAGTTTCCAGATTTGTTTCATTCAAAAAAGCTTTCAATTGTTTGATATTCTGTTTTTCTAGAAAAAAAATTTAAATATTTTTAAACTCTCCACAAAACTTTCGAATGGTGTGTTTCTTCTTGCCAAAAAACATTAAAACTTCAACCAAATTGGTTTTACTTAATTTAATTACAACATTTTAACTATTTTGAGTTCTCTTTGTTGCTCACTTGGTTTTTTTGAAAAAAGTAAAAAAAAAATGTTTCCTTTGATTTGTTCTTTTTAAAGCGTCACAATGATGTACTTTGTTTCAAATTCAGAAAAAGCTCTGCAGTGATTTGTTCTTGTTAACAAGTTTGTTCCAAAACAGCCATTAAACGTTTTGTTTTTCTTTTCTATTTGATTCACCTCTGATTTCTTCATTTGAAGAAAAAATCACTTTTGTTTTTCAAGCTTTTTTTAAAATGAACTCTCAATCGAGTTTCTTTGATAATTTTTCCATTAAGTTTTTCTGTACTTTTGAATTATCTTAATTTATAAGTCTGCCTTTTGTTTTGAGTTTTGTGTTCTTTTTTAAAGAAAAAAATTTGTCAAAGATTTCAATTTGCGAAAAGAAGTTTTAAGCAGCAGTTTGTTTTTGTTTCTATTTATTTTTTTGGCATAAAAAGCTTTGTAGTCATCTGTTTTCACAACAGCTTAGTGATTGGGCATAAAAAGCTTTGTAGCATCTGTTGTCACGAAAGCTTAGTGATTTGATCCTTTTTCATTTACATGATTTGTTATGATTTTTACAATGATCTATTTCTTTATGTTAAATTGGTGAAGAAAAACTTCCCTGTTATTTAATCCTTCCTTAATAAAAACAAACCAATGACTTGTTACTTCCTTTCCACAGAGATCAGTGAGAAAATGTAAAAATTAGTCTCACACTATCAGTCTTGTCTCTCATTTTTTGTAAAGTGAAATTGGTAGAAAATTGGACTCTTTTCATTCCCTCCCAAGTTGAGAAAGCTTCAGATTTATCCCCCATAATAATTTAACCCCCTTCCAATACCAATAAATTATTTCAAAATAAGTCCTTTTTCAACTACAGAAGTATTACAAATAAGTGTACTAATTGAGGCCTGAGAAGCCATTCCTAATTCAGTTGATGCCTCTAGCATCTGAAAAATAAATACATTCCGATTAGCTAACGAAATAATACCTCATTCGCGCGTTGAAAACAGACAATGTAAATGGTGCTACAGAAGTATTACAAATAAGTGTACTAATTGAGGCCTGAGAAGCCATTCCTAATTCAGTTGATGCCTCTAGCATCTGAAAAATAAATACATTCCGATTAGCTAACGAAATAATACCTCATTCGCGCGTTGAAAACAGACAATGTAAATGGTGCTAATTGAAGACAACAAAAGACTTAAAACTATACTGCGTTACACCTGAACTATTGTTCTACCAGTCTATGAGCTATAATGTTTTAAGCGTCCTTCCATTTTTGCTTTATCTTCCAAAGACAAGCAAATATTAGCGGTATCAGGCCACGAGTATTATCTTAAATGTAATACCAAAACCACTACAAACTGGAACTGCTCAAAATACCAATTCTGGGGTTTTATGAGAGGGGGTTAAGGAAAAGGGGGTTAAAAACGCGGGGTGATAATCTTGGGAACCGTATTTGGTACACATGCTTAATCTTAAAAAGCGATAAATGGGCTCTGTTTTAAGACAACTCTTGTAGAGTGGAAGGGAACTATGGCTTAGTGTAGTTGTTCTTTTCACCCGATATTTGGTGCCCCAAAAAACGCTCCTTTGGACTCACAAAGGGAGTTCAAATGATGTATCTTGCTTAAAGCTTTTTCGGTAATAATTAATTTGATCTAATAGCTCTGCAAGTTGTTTTTAAGCGATGTGTTTAAGTTTTTTAGACTCATTATTCTCGTTTATTGCTTATTATTTTTCTAACGTAAATAGTTTCTTCAGAAAGGGTTCTTGGTTCACAATGTCGGGAGTGGAGAATTTTCCATCTTCTATTAAATGCAACTTGGAAATTATGAACTTGGGAACGAATAACCAGACCCCGGCATTCAAATTCAAAGATGCTGTTGTTTCTCTTGGTAGAGATTCATTCAAAGACCTAGTTCTATTAGTCGAGCACAAAAAAGATTGCAAGAGATTTCGTCTCTCAAAAGAACTGAAGTTTTATAGAACATTTGCAAAAGAAGGAAAAGCGGGTATTGAAATACCAGGCAAAACACGGTTCCTAATAAACAATGCTGCGCCGCAGCCGCTTTTATCATTTCTCAGCGTTGTTGCTCTCAAAAGCAAGAAAACGAATCAGACCAAAGGTTTCGCTGCATCTGCAAATCATAGAATGCTGAACGGATTTGTGGGTTCTGGTTTTAACGAAATCAGTCCGCTGACGATATCTGAAGTGAATGCTTTCGGTGCTTCCAAACCAAGTGCTCCTAATCCAGTTGACGACTCGGAGACACCTAAGAAACCAGTGTTGAAACGAAAAAGCTCAGAATGTAATTTTGGCGACAGTGGGAATTTCTCAGATACGGCCAGTGTCTGTTCTGATTCAGGATCTGTATCTTCGAGAATTTCAACTTCATCGTCGTCTTCAGCCTCAAGAGAACCATTAAACGCTGAGCAACAAAATGTGATTAACTGCGTGCTAAGAGGTGTGTATATATTTTATTTTATGTGGAACTTAGCGTAGTGGTAAGGCGTTCACTTCGAGATCGTCAGATCGTGTAATCGATCCAATTCCATGGCAATGATAGTGTGAGGACGAGCTCTCACTTGACCTCTAGCTTCAGGTCTACCACAGCCTGGCCGATTACGGCTGCAATAGTGGTACCACGTGAAAGCTCTAGACGCAAAAAAAAAACGGACTGCGTAGACTGTCGAGATAGCCTTTCATAGATACTCTGCGAATCGCAGAAACCACAATAAAAAATGTATTGCAGATCGATCTAATCATTGGGCGATCTTACCCATTGGGGGGTCTAGTCGATAATACTCATTGGGTGCTCAGACTATCAGGTATCATCAAGAGCATCGATATAGTAGTTGTAGAAATATGGAATCCGTACATACTTTAAAATGCGCAAAAGTTTTAAGAATTGGCTTGTTGCCAAAGTTTCCCAGAGTGATTTTGCTAAAAGTTCAAAAAGAATCAATTCATTCAAGCTATCCTATAGTTTTTTAGAATTTACTGCAATTATACGAATCTAATCATCAAGGTATTGGTTTCTTCTGATATCAGTTATTCCGACAGTTGAAGAACCTTGCATGCATTATTCGATTTGGGTTAATTTAAGCTTTAGTATTTCTGCAGGACAGAGTATTTTCTTCACTGGCAGTGCTGGCACTGGGAAATCGTATCTTTTGAAGAGACTCATCTCTCATCTTCCTCCTGAGACAACAGTGGTGACTGCAAGTACAGGCATGGCTGCCTGTCAAGTATCAGGCACTACCTTCCACTCATTTGCTGGCATTGGAACTGGCACTGAATCTTTTGAAGACTGTGCAAAACGAGTAATAAGGTACGCAAGCATTGTTTCAAAATATTTTCATCACGAATTAAGCAAGCCTGTTCTGAGAAAGTTGGGAATAAATTAGTATTTTTTTCTCTGTAACTCACTGTTATTTAATGCACAAACAAAAGTTATGATGTCTTTATAAACCGCTCGGTGTAGGCGTATACAAATTAGATCTCAAACTAGTAAATTGAAAACCACCTGCGTGAATTTTTTTGCATTTTTTTTTAGTTCTTGTTCAGTGCTCAAGATAAATTTTGAAATATTTCCTGAATTTTTTTAGCTGAACAACTTCATTTTGCGGAGCTCTCCTGAGTCAGTTAAATGTGTCTTTATGGTTGTCTAAACAAAATTAAAAAAGGGCCGTAAGAGTGTAAGTGGTTTTGCTGATTTTAGTATGATTTTAATTTCAGCAAACCAGCCGCTGTGAAGAATTACAAAAGATGCAAAGTCTTAATTGTTGATGAAATCTCGATGATCGACGCTGATTTTTTCGACAAGGTCGAATACGTTGCTCGATGCGTGCGAGGAAACGACAAGCCTTTCGGAGGAATTCAACTTGTTCTTTCGGGCGATTTCTTACAGCTACCTCCCGTTTCAAAACAAGGCGAAACTGTAAAAAAGTTCTGCTTCGAAGCCGAAACTTGGAGTGAATGTATTCAAAAATCAATAGAGTTGAAAACTGTTAAAAGACAGTCGGACCAAAAGTTTATTAAGATTCTACAATTGATGCGAATTGGTCAGTTATGCGAGAGTCATAGGCAGGTTCTACTAGACACAGGGAAACAAGTAATTGAGAAAAATGGTATCAAAGCAACAATTTTGTGCACGCACAAAGAAGATTCAGTTGCGATTAATGAAAGCAAATTGGCAGCTTTGGAAGGTCAAGCGAGTGTGTTTAACTCAGTTGATACTGGAGATAAAGTGAAGCTGAATGGACTGACTAATGCACCTGATAGATTGGTCTTGAAAGTGGGAGCTCAAGTAATGTTGACCAAAAACTTCTCCGTCTCGCAGGTTAAATAATCTTCAAACTATACCACCTGCATTCGTATATGAAACATAAAGAAATCAATTCTCTTGTGAGGTTGTATATATGCTATCTACCAGGGACGAATATAGAGTTTTCACAAAGACAGTGTGTACGGTGGCTTTTTAATCTTTTTGTTGACTTTTTAACTTTACCTCGATATCAGAAGAAAATATTGGGTTCGAATGAGAAACTAGATAAAATGCTAGTCATAAAATAGTCGTACAAGGTGTATCAGTTAATTTTCTTGCCTAATTTGCTTGAGCAGAAATTCTCAATGTTTTAACAATGTAGAAAACACATGAAACTCGAAAATTGAAAAGACGAGAATTTTCGGCTTGAAATTTTTTAACAGACGTTTAGGGTTTATGCAAAATGATCGAATTAGCAGCAATAAATATAAAAAACATACAGCATGGCTTTAAAACAATTTAAAAGGTTAGTTTGTCCTTGTTTCTATAAATTCTGATGGCTAAAAACGTTATCCAACTTAAGAAACTATAGTGTACTGGAAAAATCGAGACCAAGTTTTTTCATTTACCAGCGCCATAACTAAGGCACAATTTCTTAAAATTGTGCTCAGCAGCCTGTAAATATTCGCTTCTAGTTTCTATAGCCTTGTAATGTTGAAGACGTTTTTAGACATCAAAATTTGACAATGATGTTCAAGGGTTCACTTAAATACTTCGAAGGTTCACATAAAAAGTGAGCATTATTTTAGTAGCTTTTTGGTAGGTATAATTCGATTGTGGAATTCACTAACAAAAGTTTCTAAAACACGCAAAATATGTGTCCGTGGAATCCAGACGCGTGAAAGCACCAATATGTGCTGAGTTATTAAACCGAGCTTGGCGTCGTAATGAGGATGAAAAGGGTTTTTAGCAAGCAAAGACTTCAAACTTCACAAAAAATGAGAATTAGTTATTTTATCTGTTTGCAACCGTGCTGTAAGCTTTATGAGATTTTGTTTATTTGTAATTGAGATTTTTTCTGCAATTTTTACCCAATTCGCAAATTTCACTGCCCGTATCAAATTGGCCCGTATGCTGCATAGCATTTTATGGCGATATATTATCAAGTGTTGTACTGTTCCTTGTTGGCTTGTTGTTAAGGTAATTATAGCCAGATGACGCAGTTGATAATGCGCTCAATCAAATGTCAAATTCTAAAAAAAAAATTCGAATTCATTGACAATTTTCCAGCAGTCTGTTGGCTATGTTTTGTTTTCGAATTCTATTTTACATTTTCTTGCCTGTTAAATGTCCTTTTTTTGCCCTTTATGCTTGTTTGCAAAGTGCAGATTCGCCTGTGTTCGAATTTTTTTTCTAAAACATTTTTTGTATTTTTCCACGTGCCCGAGACTCCGTTTTGCCGCGCGATTAGCATTAAAAATTGATTTTTTTAAAGCCGAAAATTATTTTGAAATCAATTTTAATCTTTAATTCTCAATTTTGTAGTTTCGATATCTTCATCTAGGCGCTAGTGAATGGAGCACGTGGAGTGGTGACTGGATTCAACCCCAAGAGGAAAAACTACCCAGTGGTGAAGTTCATCAGTGGGGTTGAGAGGACCATCGAACCAGCCAAGTGGACTGTTAAGAACCTGATGGGTGCCGACATGCATAGAACTCAGGTACTTGCACCACTCGATCATTTATGTTTCTCTACCTGTTTTATTTATATGCGTGCAGTGTATTGTCAAGTTTCAGTACCTTCAATATTTTCTCGCAATTTTAACTGAAGAGTGTTTTCACGTTTAATAACAAGAACAACACGTCCGAGTTATTTCGGACATGCATTATATTCTTCTCGGTGTCCTCGTTTGTTTTTTGTTTTTAATTGATCATTCAAAAGTTTTAAATACGCCTTTTTCCGACATCAGATCACAAACCGAGCAAAAACGGAATTTTTGATAGGTGCATTATCACGAAACATGCAAAAATTTTTGTACAAATCAGGGGGTTTGGATGAACTCCACTTGAAAAGAGCCGAAATCTGACGCTGATTGTGGTCTCGTTTTGTTATTTTGTAGTTGCCTTTGACACTAGCATGGTCAATCTCCATTCACAAGAGCCAAGGCATGACATTAGATTGTGTGAGTGTCTCACTCAGCAAAGTGTTCGAATGTGGACAAGCTTATGTTGCTCTCTCCAGAGCCAAATCTCTGGACACCCTGAAAGTTTTGGATCTAGGAGACAATACAGTAAGGGCAAACCAGAAGGTCGTTCAGTATTACGTGGGACTGAGGAAGAAAGCAATGGATGCTCAGAATATGGAGCCAATGCCTTTAGGCTCGACTGGAATGCAATCGGGAGCCATGTTAAAACGAATGAAAACAATGTGAAACTTCTCCACAAAACACTACTTAATGAAGAATTCTTATGTAAATTGTGCAATATTAGCTTCCTAAATAAGTACAGTACGTTTTCTATAGACTTTAGTTTATTTTGTTGGAGCATATAATGCGTTTGTTTTGACATTTGTGTGTTTGAAAATTTGTTGTTGACGTCTTTGAAATAGATAATATCAAGTTTTGCTAAGATTAGAAAGAGGTAGAGGTCTATTAAGGGACCTGGACTGCGTATGCTCCTAAGTTGCGAGGATCCATCTTAAGGCAGGTTCAATTTCTTAGAAATTCTATTTTTTTCATTAAGCTACCTATTCAAAATCCATACTTAAGGACAGGGATTATAGTTGGCAGAAATCAGATTTAGGCGAATTGTTGCATGTAAGAAACAGCGTTATAAAATGTTGAAAGCTGTCAACGTTAACAAGAAGTGGAAACTATTGTCTTAGCCTGTTTCAGGCGAATTAGATGACAGCTGTTCAGGTTGCAACAATTTCATCCGATTTATTGTGGCAATCAAACAAAAAAGGAAATGCACAGTCAGTTTTGATGCTTAACGCTCAAATTGTGCGTTTCGTGTTATTGGGTTGATGTATTTACAGGAGCAAATTTATTTGGTCGTTTATTTCATTTGCGAGAGCAAGTGGCTTCTAATCGGGAAATAGGCTTTTTACCATGCCTAAATTTGTAACAAATTGAACTTTATTTAAGATGGATCCGCAACTTCCAGGATCATGCGATCTGTCGAGTATAGTAAAGCGAATATGCTAGTTTTACCGGCAAAATATTTTCAGTCTTTGACGTGTTGAGCGACGAACATTATTGAATCAACTCTAATAAACAATTGGTAGATTTTTTTTTGCAGCTGGTCAAATTTTTTAAAAGTTTGATTAAGGAAAAATTCAAACATAGTATCAATTTTTTTGTTCATCGAAAACATAACTTATATGATCAATTTTTTTTTTGTTTCGTAACGCTTTCTGTGCAAGAAGAATGATGGTATAATAATTTTTGATGTACAACCATACGCAATCATATGAGCTTGTTTTCGTTGCAAATTTATAAAACTCTTGAACGAACACATCGTACAAGGACGGGTACATATATTCATTGATTTTTGGAGCAAATTTATTTACTTTGTTTATTTACCTTTTTACTTGTTTATTTTCCTTTGTTTTTTATTATTTCATTTGCGAGAGCAAGTGGCCTCTAATCTGGAAATAGGTAGTTTAATGAAAAAAAAAATTCTAAGAAATTGAACCTGCATTAAAATGGATCCTCGCAACTTAGGAGCATACGCAGTCCAGTAGTAAAGCACGTGATTCTAAAACCTTGAGTTGGAATCCAAGCGAGACCTTAATTTTTTTGAATTGTATGAATGGAATGGATATTTTTTATGCTGCGTAAACTTGCACATCGCTTGTCTGCTTGCTTTTGTCGGCGAATATGGATTTTGAATACGTTGTTTTTTCACCTATTTTTATTGGCTTAGTCAAATTCTTATGTGTCATTTGAAAAAAAAAATTAGATTTTTTTTGCTTTTTCTTTGTTGCTGAAGGAAAGGGGTTGGGTTGTAAAATTTCGAATTTGCATACTAAATATTACTTTTTTGACCATCTAATCCTAAAATCTAACAGACGAGATGAAATTTTGAAATTTTTCCAGATCTTTATCAGTTGTTTAAGCCACTATTTCTGTTCTTTAGAGTGCAATATTATACTTGCGTTGCTTCTCATAGGTTGCGCAGCAGCCTAGATTTTGTCTTGTTAACTCGTAACAACTAGAGTAACATCTATTTGGATTGTGTGGATTTTTCCGTGTTTTTGCTACTTAAAGGCTGTTTACGCTCATTTTTTTTCCACCGTTAGACCAGAGAGAGCAAAATGTTTTGATTAATGGAAATCGAATTTGGCACGCCAATAACCAAAAAAACAAATGGCACAAAATAATTATATTTTTGGTTCAAAATTGGATCTGTGTTTTGATATTACTCGTACAACAAGAAAACTTTAAGGTTCAGAAATGGATCTGTGTTTTAAGATTACTCGCAGAACAAGAAAGGCGCAAGGATCTAGTTTCAAGACTTCGGGTTATTGTGTAAAAAAGTCAAACAATGTTTTATTGTGCAATGAAGACCATGAAAATTGAACACTCATGTCTTAAGCTCAGAAAAAAAATCCGGAAAGTTATCAATCAATTAAATTCCCTTTACTTGAAGAAAAAACATAAAACGTCAATTAGCTCAAACTTTAAAAACGGAAACCCAACAAACTATGCAATTCTATTAAGACACACAATTCATTGGGCTTGTTTTATTTAAAACAAATGGTAAACTTCTTGAATTTTGAAAAGCTTCAAAACTAAATATAATTTTTTTCAAAAGTTAATTTTTGGCTTTTTCGAATCCATGTCTGTTGGCTATGTGTTTTTCTGCTTTGGTGAGTTGAATTTTTTCTTCCAACAGTCTTTTGGCTGTGCTAGTAGTTTTACCTAAATATTCTTCTTGAGCTTTAAAAAAACCTCATTAATTCCAATGGTATTTCTCAAGCAAGTTTTAAAAATTTTTGAAATGTCAACTTGTTTAAAATTAAAACCATTACACTCTTTAGATAGAATTCATTCAGTGAATTTTAATATCCGACGGTTTTCGTAGAATACAATTGTCCTTTCTTGACTTATTGAGGTGCTTGTTTTTTTTGGCTCAAATTTTGGTGCTTCAACGTCAACGTAAATCAAGAAAAAGAATTATGGTCAACAGCTTCTCATAAATAAACAAATAAATTTTTTGCAATCAAGTTTATGCTTTAAACAAAGTGTGGGAGAAATACTGTACTTGGGGGTGTTTTTACACTTGCGATAAGCAAGGTTTTTGCAATCGGGTACTAGATGTTTCCCGTAAATAATTTTGTTCAGATAATAGTCAAATTTAGAAATGGTGAATTTAGGTTCAACTCAAAATGAATTCATTTTTACGACTCCAACACACTTGGTTTGGAGGTAATGAAACTGTCTGGGACGTCAGAAGTACTGAGTTGCAAACGACAGGACCTGTTGATTTTCAAACGGGAAATAATCCATTTGAAAAAATATCGGTTCAATTTTTGTGTGTTTGTGTTATGCCGGCTGTTGCCACATCGTGCAATTTTTTTTACTGCACACAAATAACATTTTATTTAATTAAGTGTTTCGATTTTACTTCTGTTATTTGTATTTTTATTTATGTTGACTTCGTATATTTTCTTTTTCGTGTTTTTTTTTGCTTATAACTTATTTTCTGCCCAAACATTTTCGGTTTTAGTTGTTTATTTTTTAAATTTTTTTCTTCATTTTTTCGGTGTTATTGGCTATCTTTTTCTTTCATGTCTGCTAGCTTGTAATGCTATTTTTATGTGGTTCGCAAATGTTGCGAAGCTCCACTTTGCTTCTGTGTCAAATGTTTTCTTTGCAAAATCAGATATCACAAATTTTTTTAGATGGATTGGAATACTTTTTATTTCAGCAGTCATAACAACAACAGCACATCAGTTGCTGATAAATTGATTATTTCCTATAAATGCTTTTTATTACCAAAATATTTTTTTAGTACTAAAAAATTTCTAATAATAAGCGTATTTTTAGCTTCTCTTTGGGTTTTAATTTTTGACTGATCGTTAATTACACTTGCTAAGGGAGTGTATTAGTTTGAACCTTCTTTTTTTACCAACCTATGTCGCAAATATTGATACGGCAGCTTTATGGTGCGGCACTTCAATAATGTTGCGGGACCTTTACAGCTTTTTGATAGCATGTGATTTGGCATTCGAATAGTGATAATTTTACATTGTTGATGCTTATTTATTTCATCAAATGAACCGAAAAATCTAATTTGTTTCAAACAACATAGCAATAATGAAAACTCGATTTCAGAAATTTTCCAACTCAATATATCTCGCAGTTTTTGAAATGCATAATTTATACATAATGTGGCTTTGTGCTTTGCGATTTGTTACACGCGAAGTTAATATGGATGCCTCCAGTTTGTTATATTCCAATTTTTTACACGCAAAAACGAGTCTATTTGTATTTGGTGCCACTATTGCTGAATCGCGTTGGCAAGTTATTAGCATATGTAGCTGCTTTATTCGTGACTAATGTTTCTCGGTAGTTAAGCTTGTGTCGTTTAGTGTATAGTGCGTGAGACTCAAAATCTCTTGATTGCAGTAGGTTGCAGATTCTAATCCTACACGTAGCCGAGTTTTTTTGCTAATTCGAAGCTTATTTCTACTTTTTCTTATTTCACTTGATTAGCTGCTTCTTGGTCGTGTTCTCATGTGTTTGCGAAGCGCAGCTTTGTCTCTGCGTTTCAAATGTTAAGGACACAATTGGACTAAAATTCAGAAAAATAATTAGGGGTGATTAAATGTAAAATAGGGGTAGTTAAGCGCGAAACTAAAATGATCTTTGCCAATGACAAATTAACCAACCATACATCAAGAATAATGGCGCTGAGAAAAATTTTGAGTACCAAGCATTATTAAAACATAAAAATTTAAGGGCATATTGGTCGTAATTTTTTGCTGTCAGGTCTTAAGAATTATCTATCATCATCACACATTTATTCTGTTCTGATTGTTTGAAAAATAGCCTTATTTCCCGTTTTTGTTATTGCGTATGTCCCATTCTTGTTGTTGACTATGGTTCGCCATTCATTCCATGCCACATGATTTTTTCTGTTTTGAATAAAATTTGTGTTGTCCTGAGTCAACCGAAGATTGTTTTTTCTCTATTCTTTCAGCATCTTCTGACGAAACGTCCAATTCTTCTTGATCTTCCATTTTTTCCTCAGCTTTTTGCAACTTGAATCTTTTCATATACATTTTTCCCAATTTGTCCACAAAAATGAGCTTCGCGTATTTTTCCATTAAGTCGTATAGGCATATGAAAGTAAGCCCAGCCCATAAACCCATCTGCGCGCCCATGTTACTGATCAATGTGAACTCCGTGTAAGAACTGATTTCAGAGAAAGCTGTGACATCCGAGTTTTTTCTGTAAATGTCACAACTCAAACAAACATTTCAAAAAATTGAAGAATTTTGACGATTAAAAGCTAAAAGCATTCTGAATGCATCAAAAACCTGAAAAAAATCTGAGCGCTGAAAAAGTTTTTGATAAAGTTTTTCGCTCAAATGAAATGCGTTTACGTGAACTTGTTACTTGTTTACAAAAGAATAACTTGTGTTATAGTATGAGCTTTCTTTTTTTCCAACCTAAGTCGCAAATATTGTTGTGATGCAGTTGTTGCGACAAAATGTGTTCATTTTGAAAGTTTCATTTTGATCCAGCTATTAAGTACAGCCAATGCTAAGGATATTAACACAGACTATTACAAATAGCAGTTTAGCTTAAAGGTATCATGGTTTTGTAGCGTAGAGGTAGGGAAGGAGACCAGCAGCAAAATAAGAGGGTTCGAACCTGGGCAGGTTTGGATATTTTTAATGAAATTTTTCGTCCAGTTAAAATGAGTCCTCTCTACAAACTGAAGCATGTTAATTGGTAAATTTCTTTTCAAATTGACTGGTAATGCATCATAATTGACTTGCGTCACTTAGCGCTTATGGAGACTCATAATTGGCATGCGTGGCTTAAGAAGTTTTGTAGACTCAAAGTTTCACTCATTCAGTTTTTCCCAGTAGCGTTGTCGGCCACATTTTTGCTTGCATGCGAAGTGCAACTTCGTCTTTGTATAAACAACTAGGTTATTAAACAGGCGAAAAAATAGGACATCAGCTTGGCTCGAATCTTCGAAACAGAGAGTTTTTCTCTGTGGTGCCAAATAAGAGGTGATTCATTGAAAGAATAGAGTGTTCAATTGTTTTTCTTAAGTCACGAAAAGGAGATAGTATTTCATTCTAGGAGGGAAGAAGCGGCAATTTTCCAAACTTGCATTTAAAAAAAGTTATAATTAGAAATTTTTTGTGGAAAATTTGATATAATAATCACCGTAGTAATAATAAAAAAAATAATAAGAATAATCATAATAATAAACTGTTTTCAAACCAATTATATACACTAAATTAAGTTCAATAATTTATGACTAATACAGGTTTGAGAAGACATCCTGAAAATTTTAAGCGAAATCTAACGAGGGATGCCTCAGAAAGCAGAACAGTTTTGAAGTAAATCTCAATTCCTAAATTAGAATATTAATTTTTTGGTAAATTTAGAAGTTTTTTTCCTAGAAAGAATGACCCATGCTACAAGAAAACAACACTATAGTTAGCCTAACAAGACCGCTCGTATATCAGGGTGAAGCCCTGAATGTTCCGCTTGTCCCTTAATTCATATCGAATAGTTTTTGGGAAAAGAAAATATTGAAAACCTATAAATTTTGCACACATCAAAGTGTGAAATGTTCAGTCATATGAAATTAAAACGATGGATCCGATTAGCTAGCGTCAATTCAATTTGGAACAATTTTGTTGTGCGGGATAACTTGCTCGCATGAATGATTCGCGTTACGCTCTCAGCGTTATGAATAAACTCTTCAAAGCGCGCATAATTTAGTCCAGAACATGGCCAGTTTGGCAATTTTCATACCCCAGATATTTACAAAAATTAATCGGAGGTAAAATATGTTTCTAAAATTGAACTCAGGAAGTTGATATCTTCAATGAGATATAAAAATTTTTTGTTGAAAACTATTATTTCGATCGGCGAAAATTGACTGAATAAAGAAACCACGACGATATAAGTACAGTGCTGATTTAAATTAACCGGACAAAACGCGTTTAACTTGAAATTTAAAACGCGTTTTTCTCAAATTTGGTTGAGTTTAGGTGAAAACTTATGAAGATAAAACTTGCTTAAAATTTTAGCAGAATTAATATGGTGTAATTTGTTTTGCAAAATTCGGGCCCAAATTTTTACCCCAAAAATGGGTCATTTTGGTTTTTCTTAGTTAATCAAAAATTACGCCAAAAAATACCGAATCAATCACAGACATAATTATATCAAAGTGAGCCCCTTACGTAGCCCAACAAACTCTATGAAGGTTATTTTCTCCAAAAAAATGCAAATTGTTTAAAAATTGTTTTTAAATAAAAAGTTGGTATTTTATATAGTAAAAATGACCTTTTTTGTCTATCAAACAAAAATATATAATTTATAGAATATTTTGGAGAAAATACCCTTCAGAAAGTTTGTTGGGCCACGTAAGGGGATCACTTTGATATAATTATGTCTGTGATTGACTCGGTATTTTTTGGCGTAATTTTTGATTAACTAAGAAAAACCAAAATGACCCATTTTTGGGGTAAAAATTTGGGCCCGAATTTCGCAAAACAAATTACACCATATTAATTCTTCTAAAATTTTAAGCAAGTTTTGTCTTCATAAGTTTTCACGTAAACTCAACCAAATTTGAGAAAAACGCGTTTTAAATTTCAAGTTTTACGCGTTTTGTCCGGTTAATTTAAATCAGCACTGTATTCCGTTTTCTTTGAAATGCCGAGCAATAATTCTAGCTTAAATCCACGAAGTTTATCAGAAAAAATCCGAACAACCCAGAATATAATTGTCGAGAAAGTTATGATAAAATGTGCTTTACGATTTTGATATGCTTCAGGCATTTGATAGCTTTTTTGTTAAAATCAGTACAAAGTTATTTTGGTACAGCAAAACTCATATTATTTCATCAACGATGTATTCGTACCTGAAAATATGCAGCTTCGTGAACCCTTGCTTCGCCACTTGCAAAGCGTAGTTATACGCTTTTTTCTCACATTCGGGGTTAGTAATCTGACCCATATTGCAGAAGAGAATTTTACCAGCAGCAACGGCGTCAAGAAATTTCGAAGTCGCATGTTTTGCGATCTCGGTGTAGTTCGATTCGTTTTTTTGGAGCTCCACGAATAGCTTTCCGAGAAAATACTGAGCATCGTTTAGTGTCGGGTACTTGGCTATTTGTTGCGTGTGAGGAAACGTTATTTGAGAACAGCTTTGCTTGCAATTTTCTCTGATGCATTGATGTGCCTGCTTTGCAAATCCATTTTTCTCGATGATTTCTTTTTCTTGAAAACCACACATTCTACAACTGAAGTACCTGTGTAAAAAGGAAAAACTAAAACTCGCGTTTTGTCGGAAAAACAGTTCTCTTACTTTTTGCTAGAGGCATCATATCATGTGATGTGTTATCCAAGAAAACCTGAGGATTTTTTTATGTGCTTATAGCTTTCAAAATTTGATTTTTCCATTGTTTTTTTTTTCTAATTTCAAAAGTTATGTAACAAATCAGCATGCCCTAACATTTAAAAATAGTTCTTTCCTCCCCTTTTATTTGAACCTTGGTATCGTTTCCATGTTCATTAATATTATTACACATGTAAATATCTTAGTGAAACCAGTACTGTCTCATTAATGTTTCAGTAAAAATAAACCCTCTGTAATAATTTGCCACTAGAATTATATCTCTGATCAGAGACGAAACTGCAAGTTCAAAATTTATTTCAGACTGTTTAAAAGGCAGTTGGATCATGAAGGATTTTGTCCTGATATTAGTAATCTTGTGGCCATGGTTGGCTAAATAAATCACTTAAATGATAGTAAAAAAATTGTGATAATTAAATTAAAATATTTATTCAAATTATTGTATACTACGACATGCGACGCGACTGTTGATCTTTTTGGCCAGAATTTAATGTTTTGCATAATTTCTGCAATGAAAAGTTTTTTTAACTTATGAGAACAGATCATAGTCATCAGCTAAAAATTTGGTTGAATCATCGATAAAACACTTGCTACTTCATCACGCATCGGAAGTTTCCATGATTGGCCAGATGCGCTAAGTGACATCGAAAAGACAATACCTTGAAGCGGAGCAGTTGACCTTATCCTCGTACAGTTTATGGTAGCAGTGTAATTTACACAAGGCCTCGCTGTATTTCTGAGTGAACTCCGACCCCTCCAGAAGTGAGCCTCGAGGAACACAGTCCTCGTTCTTGTCGTCCCTCAGCCAGTTCGTCTGTTTGTACTCAATTGTCACGTGTTGTCCTCCAGCTACATCGATTCCTAGTGTAAACAAATATGTAAAAACTAGTTGCAGTGCATGGTGCGCAGAATGTTCTAAACGAGGGGCGGATCTAGGATTTTCTCGAGGGCGCGGGGCGCATTTTCAAAAAAAAAATCGAAAATTTTGACAACCTTTTTTTTAGGTCGACCAAATTGATTTTCCGAGCTCTCCTAAAGCTCTAAAAAGACGCTGTTTTGGCCAAAATTGCCAAATTTTCTGCGCCGTAGGCAAATATTTGAAAAAAAACGGTAAAAAAGCCGTTTATGGGCACTTTTTGAAAATTTTTGACAAAAAAAGTCGCGTTTTTTTTGGCGCGCGCTCCCTCTCAAAGTTAGTATATATTTAGAAAAATTTTAGGGTTGGTCGGCCAAAAATGGATTTCTAAAAAAGTACCAAAGGGGGGACCCTTTGGGTCGGCAGGGGGTCGAATCCCTGAAGGGAGAGGCGTCCGCTAACCCCCCTCTCAATCCGCCCCTGTTCTGAACACATTTTTCAGATTCTTGTTTTAATCTGGAAGGGCTATAATATGATGAATCACTCGAACCATTCTCATGATTGTTTGTAGCATACCTGATTTTAAGTGGGAAATGTCTTAAAACACACCCGAATACAACGTTCTTACTCCGCTTTCACTGGTCATAACAACAAGAATAGCCAGTTGCAGTGTAAACAGCGCAGAAAGGTTCCGAAATTCGTCTTAGCAAAAAATTAATAAGTTTTAAATTATGGATTTTTAATCATTTTTGTCAATATGTTGTGGAAGGTTTTACAATTCAACTGTCCTGACGAATACAAGATGTTTCAAACTCGTTTTCAAAAACGTTGAATCTTCTGTCAGTTCACAATTATTTTGGCTGTTGAAGCCATTCTTTTCGCAAGATACATGAAAAATTCGCCGAACTTTGATAGTAGATTTCTTTAAATTGGATTGTTATTTGTTCGCTCATGTTTTTGCATTCATCCACTTTTCGAACAAATTTCTTTAATGCTGTATAAAAATAACCGGAAAAAATGAAGTTAAGAAAATATTCAAACTCGTTTCTCACAAATTAAGTTAATTTTGGACAAAATAATTTGAGAAAAAAAAAATTGTTTGATTTTTTGTCAGCGTTTTTATGGTTCAATTCAATTTACAAAACTTCATACCAAATTTTTGTCATTGAAACGGGCCATCTTTTGGCTCAAAATTAAAGTGGCAAACAGGGTAAAGTGACATAAGAATCAGGCGCGGATGTAGGAATTTCTCGAGGGGCGGATCTTCAAAAAAATTCTGAAAATTTTATTGACTTTTTTTTAATATTAATTTTAGATCAACCAAATTGATTTTTTGAGCTCTCCCAACCCACAATGAAAACCGTAAATTGAGCCAATTTTTCTGCGTTGCAGGGAAATTTCTATATAAAAAAAATCGTTTTTAGGCATTTTTTGGAAAATTTTGACCAAAAAATAGCGTTTTTTGGCGCGCTCCCTCCTCAAAATTAGTACAGATTGGCACCAAAACGCCTAAGTAAAAATTTTAAGGTCAGTCAGCCAAAAATGGATATCTCAAAATAAAACAAAGGGGGACCCTTTGGGCGGGCAGGGGGTCGAATCCCTGAGGAAGAAGCGTCCGCCCACCGCCCCCCCCCCCCTAAATCCGCTATTGATAATAATGACTACAATTAATCCTGGTTCCCTTTTTACTTTTAAACCAAAAGATGACTCATTTTAAGTTTTGGCTTGCGTTTTTTAAAAATGAGATGCATCAAAAAAACGCTGACAAACATCCAATCAAAATTTGCCCTAATCCTTTTTAATCCAAAAGTAACTGAAATTGAAAGAAACGAATTAGCAAATTTTGAGAAAATTCGGTAAACTGCGAAAGCATAAATCAATTCAAATCATAATTTTTTATCAGTATTCGGCAGTGACACCAGATTATAGTGTTCTATTATAGTCTATAATAGCGTGGCTATCATAATGCGCTATATTGACACTTCTGTTCTATTAATAGAATTACTATAATAGAACGCTATTAATCACAGCTATTGCCGAGCGCTGATCATAGTAGCTAATATTTCAGTGGCTGACGACTTGAAATCTCATCTTTTAGCTTACACTGTGTAAGTTACACATAAAATAACATTCGTTGCATATCCTTTTATCTGCAATAACTACCTAATTTTACTCGTTTTGCTTCATTGTTTGAAATGGCACCAACTAAATAGGCAAAACGGATAAAATTGGAGACATCCTTTGAGTTTATGGCATCTGAAAAGTGTTACAAGCGCACAATTGCAACAAAAAAATGGAAGGAGTTCATAGTAGTAATTTTCTTACTGGAGCTGAACGACATATTCAAAGGTGTAACCCTGCTTTCTTCGACGAATCAAATCAATTACTTATAACCAGCATGGGAACGCTGACAAATGACGTATCAATCAGATAACTGCAATGCCATGCTAGCAGCTTGCAGGGAGTTTAGACAATCGATTTGGCCAGAAGATCCTCCTGAAGTCGACGAAGAAAATTCATACTTTACGGTGGAAGGACATGATATCCAAGAGGAAAACATTGAACTGGAAAATATCAGCTTCGTTGGATGTAGCTGTAGCTGAAAGAGTTTTTTCGAGGGCGGGCTATTTATCCATTGACAGAAGAAACAAGATTTTGCCCGAAAATCTTAAAACTCGTTTGATAATAACATCGTATTGAAATAAAGTTTCAGCTCTGAAAAAGAGTTTTTTTCACATCCACTTTTTTAGGAAATCTGTTATAGAATACTATACTCAAAGTATTATAGAATTTTGAGGGTTATATTCTGTAATCGACATTAAAAGGGTCATCACCGGTATTCGGTAAAGTGAGAGAGGATTTAATTAGAAAAAAAACATTTTTGAAAGCACCGTAGTTTCAAAAATTGCAATAAGTTGTTCTTTACCCGCATACTTAGAGTCAGTGTCTCCAACTTACTTTCATTGGCATTCAAAAATGGCCCAAGTGACGAAAACTTCCAAGCAGTTGTTATCGAAACTTTTAGTTCAACAACAATTTTCTTTAAATCTCACAGATGGCTATTTTTTTTAGTTTCAGAGCTTTTTAATTGATTTTTTGTTTTTCTTGCTTATTATAGGAATCTTAGCCCAACCGTCTTAAAAGTCTTAGTTTAAGTTTTATCAATTCTAATCAACAGACAGTTCTATTCTAATTTTTTAACATGGCGCAGTCAAACGAGTCAAAACTACGAGGACTAGAATTTTTTTGGAATAACACATCGAGTGAAAACCAACACGACTGGGAAAGGTGGTCGGAAAAGTTCCAACTAACAATCATCCCGAAAGATTCCGTGGACATCGAAGATGTAATCAACCCACCAGTAAGAACCGAACTAGTATACCCCATGGCAGAACCAGCGGACCCGTCCGATGATCAAGCCCGTCGGGCCGAAAAAGAAGAACACAACCGAATAGCCATACTAAATTACAACGAAGAAATGAGAAGGAGAAGGGTAGAAGACAACGCAAAATTCAACGGACTTCAAATCGGAGATATTGACAAGAAATTAAAATCACAATTATACCTGGCACTCGGAAAAGAAGGACAGAAATGCTTCTCACAAAAAATCCTGGGAAAAGAAAATTGGACATCAACTTTGCCGAATTCTGGGAATTACTCAAAACTACTTTTACGGTCACTACAAATCTAACATACGAAAGATTTAAATTCTTTGGCCGAAGACAGAAAGAAAACGAGTCTTTAGAGAAATTCCACGAAACACTATCCGAATTGGCAAAAAATTGTAAACTGGGGGAACTCGAGTCAGAATTGGTCAGAGACATTTTCATTACAAGTATGCGAAACGTTGAGATTCAAAAGAAACTATGTATTGAATACTTGACTCCAGAAAACATACTATCTTATGTACTGTTCCATGAGAAAGGTACCAAAACTCATCAACAGTACCTAAAATTTCCTACCTATAATGCGGTACAGAGACCACAAAACATAAAGAATGGACCGACCCTAAATATCGTCGAAAACAATAAGTGCCGCAACTGTGGTCAGTAGTTCAAAAAAGGACACTTAACTACATGCCCGGCCAGGGATAGAAATTGCAATACGTGCGGACGTAAAGGCCCATTTGCAAAACACTGCAGGAGTTCAGCAAGAACTCAAACAAACATAGTGGAACAAAACCAATTACCCCAGGAAAACGAAAATACCCGGGTTAACCCGCAGGAAAATCCCGAATTTGAAGTCAACTTAGATGATTTTCTAGTTCTAGCGGTAGACACGGATACCAAATAAATGCAGTGGAAGGTAAGATAGAACGTGGAGTGAGAACTGTATTTAACCACGAAGGCCTAGAACGAAAAAAGACGTTGATGGTATCTCTGGGAAATTTCAACCCTTGCTGTACCGAAATCCAGATTGACTCAGCAAGCCCAGTCTCATTCATGAAAAAAGATTTATTCCATGAACTGAAGATACGAGATAGATTTTTAAAGTTAGAACCTGCGGATGAAATAACAAAAAAAGCGTACCAAGGCTTCGGGAGCACAATCAACATAATTGGAAGAGTTCGGGAGAGAATTCGATCGAAGGGTTGTGACGCTAGCGACCAGAAACTTTTCATTACCGAAGGAGCAGAAAAAAATCTCCTCGGAAACGACATATTACCTAATCTGGGAATAGTAGTACTCTAAAAACAACCTGCACCCAACGGGTCAGAGCCACGGAGAATTCAGAAAAGATCACCCATCGGGATAGACGTCAATCAAATAAGATTTGCATCGGACAGAAAATCAGACCAAAACCAAGAGTCACCATCACAAAGTGAGTTTAAAACATACATATCAAAACAATTTCTAGACCTCACAAAAAGAACCGGTAGATCAAAGAATTTCATAGTTAACAATTACTAACGAACCAATAAAGCCGATACAGGTGAAGGGGAAACGCATTCCGATCCATCTTCTCCCTAAAATTAAACAATGTATCGAACAATTACTAAGAGACG